AAAGAATAATAATAACAAAGTTTACAAATTGGAGACTGGACTGTGCTGGAATATTGAGGTTCGAAAAACCTTAATTTTTTTTTTTTAAATCAAGATGGCAGCACTTTTACCCACATTCAAAGGGTTGAGGCTTCCATTATGCGGTTGGCATTCTGATTTTTTTTTAAATATCTCCTCCTTGTCAACCCACAAAGCATTCCTAGGCCTGTTTTCGAGTTGCCATACACAGAGGGAATCTGAAGGAGCAGTACAGCAGTTTAAAACCAGGAGTACATTCCAATACTTCTTACAAAGATTGTAGCGTAGGCTACCGGATCTTCTGCCCTCGAAAACCCTTAGTTGGAGAACGTGATTGATGACACCCAGCCCGTGAAGGTGCTTCATTGGAGAATCTGATCTATGACACACCCGGGGGGGGGAGAGGGGGGAAACAGGGTCACAGGGGACTGTGAATTACATGTGCCATTAACCTACATGGCTTCATTTAGGTTAATGCTGGCATGTTGCTCTTAGTAAATCTTTTGGTTTCTTTTGAAGCTGGGCTCGAGGCTCATGATTCCATTAGGGCAATTGCCGGAATCCTGACACTTCTATATGGACTCACTTAACAGTGGTCAACCCTGCATAACATGCTAAAATATAATGCATATCAGCAGAAATGTTACAATATTGCCAGGAAAATAGCCAGTTGGACTGGATCACTTCAGGATTAGCATCCAGCACATCTGGACAGGAGTCATGTTGGGGCAGGCTACTTCCGGTTTGAGCTTCTTCGGCGACAGACCGAAACCTCGTCTCTGCGAGGCTTCGATCTGTGCTCGCTGCTGGAGCGCCCCGAGCTGGCTGGTTTCGGGGCTAAGCCACCCTGCAGAGGTGGTGAAGAGGAGGGGAGACTGCCTGCAGGGTTGAGGAGAGCCGCATCTCTCCTCCCCAGCTGGCCATTACTCCCTTTCCCAAAGGCGGTTGTAGCGGTGGTCAGAAATGGCTACCACAAAGAAGAACTCGACCGGAAAAGAATGTGCAGGAGGAAGATAAGAAGAGAAAGTTTTGGGTGACCGGGTCAAACAGCAAAAGCAACAAATAAGGTACCCTGGAATTGAAACTATTTAAAAAAAAACAATAACATTGTTCCCTAAGAAGATTTTTAAGCTGTGAAGGAGAGAGAAAAGGGAAAAGATTTGGGTTTTTTTTTCTCCTTTTCCTATACTGACAGCTAAGAGACTTAAGCAAGAAATTGGAAAAAAAATCCACTTTGACATTAATAGGCATTTAATGCTGAAAATAAAAAGTCAAAGGGATAATAAAGATTTCTGGATAATTAAAAGCTTTTGAAAACAGGAAAGGAGAGAAAAAGAATAAAAGGGCAGGATCTGGAAGGGAGGAGACTGCGTGGAATTAAAAAGAACTTACAGCAAAATCTCAACAAGACTTCCAAAAGATACATTTTAACTGAAATATCACAAGAAAAGCCCCAGCAAGAGAAAGTGGAAAAAGAAATAAGAAGAAATAACTTGGGACTATTTGGATTACTTGATGATTTCTGGATTTTTGGTTGTTGTATCTGAATGACTAAAATCAATCGGATGGTTGTTTAAAAGTGTTTAAAATGGCTCCACTTTTAGAAGAACTGAAAATGGAACTTAAAAAGTACAAAGAAGATGCACAAGAAGGGAGAGGTTCTTTTGGCTTCGTATTTCAGTTTTTAGAAATGGAGATTTGGAACTATGAGAAACAACAAGAAATGCCTGCAGAACAAGAAGACTGGGACAAAGAAGAAGCCATCTTTAATGAACAAGTAATCTTAGATGGGGCGGGGGGAAGGAAAGGGAGGAAAGAGAATGGAAAGTTTAAGATTGGGAAAGACAACTAAAAAAAAATAGAGTGAAAAATAAGTATAAAATCAGAAAGCAACAGAAGAGGGAAATGCAGAAGAGAGAATTAGAAGTAGAGAGACAAGGGGGTAAGAAGGGGAGGGAGAAGATGAGAGGGAAGAAAGAAAGGAAAAGAAGTTATAAAGGACAGAAACAAAATATAGAGAAACAGGGCCTATTTAGAGATAATGGGTGAAAATTTAATGGAAAAAGGGATTCTGCAAAGGTACATAAGATAGTATTGTTATATTAGAAACAGAAATAATTTTAGAAAATATGAAACAATATATGATTAAAATGTGATAAAATAGCTATTGTAATTCAGTGGAATGCTTGTCAATAAATAAATGTAACAAAATGAATATTTAATGATTTATAAAACATATGTGAAGAGAAATAAGGGAAAAATTAATTATGGAGATTATATGTGTTTTTAAGGAAGTATGATATTTAATTGAAAAGAAGTGTTAAAGATGTTAAGATTTTAATGATTATTAATGATAGAACTGAATTGGAATGGAATGAGGGTTTATAATTACATATATTTATAATCTTTTTTTTTAAAGAATATAGTGTGTATTATAAGAATGTACCAAGCAGAATTTGATTGGAAGTTATGTATTATGTATTATATTGAAGGTCATAAACTTAAGGTATATATTGAAGTTTTAATAAGAGTTGAATGGATGTAATTAAAAGATATAAAGGTGTCATACTCCAATTAGTAACTACAGGAGAAAATTTGTTTAATGAGAAAAGATAATATGAAATTGAAACAGAACAGACAAAAGCATAAATATAATGATTTGAATTGAGATGAGATAATTAAAATAAAATTGAGAAAATTAAAAGAGGGGAAAAACTATATAGAAAATGTAGAACAGTATAAGGTATGGAATAGAACACAAAAAGGAGCATGAAATTGAGTTTTGTTTCTGTATAAAGAAGTTCAACCCGGGACCATGCTATTTTCAAAAAAAGATGTTTTACTTGTATTTTGTATGTGTGAAAACCCAAATAAAACTTTATTAAAAAAAATATATAATGCATATCAGCAGAAATGTTAAAATATTGCCAGGAGAATAGCCAGTTGGACTGGATCATTTCAGGATTAGCATCCAGCACATCTGGACAGCAGTCACGTTGGGGCAGGCTACTGGGGTTTTCTCCTGCCCCAACATGACTCCTTGTCCAGATGTTCTGAGTGCTAATCCTGGTGTGATCCAGTCCAACTGGCTGCTGGTCCCTGATGCTGGGAAACATGGGAGTCAAGTGTCCCAATGGACTTCAGCTTGGGGAAGCTTTTGTAGAATTCCCAAGTCTGCCCTGTGCTCTTCATCTAGGTTGCTTTTGGACACAGAGCGGGAGAAACATGGCTTAAAGGTTGGCACTTCTGACTTTAGTGCACCTCTGGAATCCCTCGGAACATAGAGTTGTAGGGAACAACCCCCGCCCAACTCAGAAAAATCGGTACATCTGGACCCAAATGGGTTTCCTGTCACCTTCAGCCCCAACGTTCGTCCGCAGCATAAACTGGAAAAAGTATGTTGAGCAATTAAAGCAAAGTCACTCCACAAGGAAACAGCTATTCTTTTAAGTCAGCGTTTCTCAACTTCAGGATCTTTAAATTGGGAGGACTTCAACACCCATAATTCCCCAGCCAGGATGTGTGAAACCCAGAATCCTCAAGCCCAACATCTGTGGACTTCAACTCCCAGAATTCCCTGGCACCAATGCATTCCTTTTGACGTGTATCCCCATTGTGTCCTGCATACTCTCTCTTAATCCCTTCCTTCGCAATCTCTCCACTGTGTATATTCTCTCTTCATCCCTTCCTCCGCAATCTCCATTGTGTATATTCTCTTTTAATCCCTTCCTCCGCAATCTCTCCACTGTATATACTCTCTTTTCATCCCTTCCTCCGCAATCTCTCCATTGTGTATACTCTCTTTTAATCCCTTCCTCCGCAATCTCTCCATTGTGTATATTCTCTTTTAATCCCTTCCTCCGCAATCTCTCCATTGTGTACATTCTCTTTTAATCCCTTCCTCCGCAATCTCTCCATTGTGTATATTCTCTTTTAATCCCTTCCTCCGCAATCTCTCCACTGTGTATACTCTCTTTTCATCCCTTCCTCCGCAATCTCTCCATTGTGTATACTCTCTTTTAATCCCTTCCTCCGCAAT